CACATATCAGATATGAACTCTCTTTTTGGGCTTCGGCCTCTTCTTCTTCTTCAGTACTTTCTTTTGGCTCTTTTTGTTCGGATCCACCATCTCTCCTCTGAACGACGTGGAGCTCTTGGTCGGATTCTGCTGGTTTGCGGTGAAATTCTTCCGGCCTGCTCTCTCCTGACGGGACACGGGGCCCTTCACGGGGCCCTTCACGGGGCCCTTCACGGGGCCCTTCACGGGGCCCTTCACGGGGCCCTTGCCGCTCCTCCTCCTGCCGCCACCTTTATTCGCCTGTTTCTCCGCCCTCCTCACCCGGAGGGGTCTGCCGTCCAGTTTTGTGCCGTCCAGTTCCAGCGCCAGCTGCACGGAGTCGGAGCTCTGCAGCGGAGAGACCGACAGAGAAAGTCTCACGTGAAACCCGTCGTGACATCGAGAGAAGAAGAGCTGGAACAGGAAAAGGCGCCGCCCGGGTCGCCGTACCTCAAACAGGACGTAGCCGAATCCTTTCCCGAATCCAGAGTCCTGGTCCCGCACCAGTCGTACGGCCTCCACTTTGCCACAGTCCTCAAAGTGATTTGATTGTGATTTGACGCATTTTATTTCTTGAACATGTAGACATTAAAAAATAAAAAATTTAAAAATCAACATAGACATAGACCACAAAATTAGAAAAGTCACCTTTTGTTCAAGAAAAGGAGTAGAGGGAAGCAAAAGCGTATAGATACCCACCCCTATCTTATCCATATTCTCAATTAGTATATATTACTTTGAAGATTAATATCATACATACATACACACACTCTCTCACACACTCTCTCACCCACACACACGCACGCATACTCACACGCACAAATAAATACAATTTAAATTTCCGTCATTGTATATTTGCACAGATCTCATATTTGGCTAATGTCTATAATTTAAGATGTTTTTTGAACTGTGCAATATGTTTACAATCTTTGATCTTATCTGGTAAGTTGTTCCACAACCTCACCCCACAGACCGATATGCACCTGCTTTTGAGTGTAGAGTGCACCTTTGGTTGCCTCAGTTTCAGTCTCGCTCTTAAATCATAGTCTCCTAGTCTGTCGCTAAACCAACTTTGAATGTTTCCTGAGAGTAGGCTGTTTCTTGCTTTAAATACAATCTGTAACGTTTTAAAATCTTTCAAGTCCATAAATTTTAATATATTTAATTTCAGAAATAATGTGTTTGTGTGTTCATAGCACTCCACCTTATTAACTATCCGTATTGCTTTTTTTAAAATTGTGAATATTGCCTGTAGGGTGCTTTTGTAGGTATTACCCCACACTTCCACACAGTAACTCAAATAGGGGGCAAACAGTGTACAGTACAGTGTATGCAGTGATTGTATATTCAATATATGTCTGACTCTGACTAGTATCCCTACACATCGTGCCAATTTTGAGTGTACACGAGTGACCTGTGGCCTCCGCTGAGCTTGTGGTCTATCTTTACACCTAGAAAGGAGTATTCAAACACCCTTTCGATTTTTATATTATCGATCTTTAGTTCAATGTGTGTGTTTGCTTGTGTGTTACTTTTACCAAAGACCATAAATTTGGTTTTCTTTACATTAAGTGATAATCTATTTATATCAAACCACAATCTCAGCTTGGTTAACTCAGTCGAGACCGCCTCCAACAACTGTTCGAGGTTCCCTCCTTCACAGAATACATTTGTGTCATCTGCAAAAATAACATTTTTCAGGATCCTGGAAGCATTACTTATGTCATTTATATAAATAATAAATAGTTTTGGACCCAGTATTGATCCTTGCGGCACACCACAGGTAATATTTCTTAAGGTGGACTTCTTATCCCCTATCTGTACAAACTGTTTTCTTTGTCCAATGAAAATTTTGTACCCAATTTAGTCCAACCCCTCTGATCCCATAGCTTTCCAGTTTGTGTAGCAGTATGTCATGGTTTATTGTGTCAAATGCCTTCTTCAGATCTATGAAGACCCCTATTGCCATCTTTTTGTTATCTATTGTGCTTGTCAGTTCTTCTACTAAGTCCATGAGTGCCAATGATGTTGATCGGTTTGGCCTAAAACCATATTGACTATCTATGAGTAATCCATGTTTATCTATGAAACTGTCCATCCTTGTAGCAAATATTTTTTCCAAAATTTTGGAAAATTGGGAAAGCAGGGAGACTGGTCTGTAGTTATTGTAAAGGTTTTTTTCACCTTCTTTGAAAATCAGAATTACCTTAGCAGTTTTCATTTTGGTTGGAAAGAAGCCCGTTTGAAGTGAAACATTGCAGATATGTGCTAGGGGATCTGCTATATTAATAATGACTTCTTTTACTATTGTCATATCAATACCATTCCAGTCTCTTGATGTTTTTTTTTTTAAGTTATTAACTATGGCAATAATTTCATTTTTATCGGTGTCCTTCAGAAAGATAGTATCTGGGTTCCTCTTGCCCAAATAATGTGCTACACATCCCCCTTGCGGAAGGTTTATCTGCTCTTCTAGTTTAGGGCCCACATTTACAAAGAATTTATTGAAGCCTTCTACCATCTCCTTTTTTTCATTAATAATCTTATCATTATCTAGAATTTTTTCTGGCAATCCAGAGCTGGTCGATTTCTAATAATTGAATTTAAGATCTTCCATGTTTCCTTTATATTATTTTTATTTTTATCTAGTAGTTTACAATAATAATCCTTTTTACAATTTCGCATAATATCAGTTAATTTATTTTTATATCCTTTATACTTCATTTCTTTCTCCTTATTTCTATTCTTGATAAACTCTTTATATAAGAAGTTCTTCTTTTTACAGGCGTTCAACAAGCCCTTTGTAAGCCAAGGTTTATCTGAGCGATTTGCTCGTTTTCTGCTTTGCTGAATTGGACAGCATCTGTCATATAACATCAGAAAAGTTTGCAGGAAGGAATCATAAGCATAATCAACCTCCTCTGCCTCATAAACCTTTCTCCAGTTTTGTGCATTTAATTCATTTCTGAACTTGCTTAGATTGTCAACCGTTCTTAATCTCCTTTCTATCATTTCATTCCTTTCAGCCAACCTAGGTGCACCGCTGTAGATTGCAAACACCGGCAGATGGTCTGCCGGAAGGCCAGTTCGTTCATCTCTAAACACACACACACACACACACACACACACACACACAGCAGGTTACACTCTGACTTCAGACACAAGGGTCCGACATCCAATCAGAGAAAGACTCACCGAATGACAGATTCCCCACAAACACGGAGCGCTTGTTTACACCACGTAGGCGTTCACGCTGGTCTTCTGGGGATGGACTTTGCGTCTGTGAAGTAAAGAAAAGTCAAAGTTCTGGTCGTTCATCTACTCTGAACTGGACAGACAGAAAAACCTACTGGGTCACGGCTACTTTGCGGGACATGCCGGGATCCTCTCTGGCCTGCAGGGGGCGAACAGAGCAGACCACGTTACCGTTTCACCGATGGACTCGAGTTACACGAGCTTCACTGGATAGAAACACTCGTTTATGTACGAGAGTCAACAAAGGAAGACCTGGTTCTTTCTTCCTCCCTCTTAAATAATGACAAACAACAGCGGTGAAGTACAGAAGCAGAGAGAGAAGGCGGACCAGCGCTCAGCTGTTACTTGGCATTATTAGGTCTTGCATGTGTATCCCACAGCACACGGGCAGGATGGACCGCTTTGAAAGGTTCATGGTTACGTAATCTTCTGACGGCTGGATTCAGGCCCCTTTCTTTCACTTTTGCTGTTACAGCGCGTTTTGAGGAGTTTTCAATTTGTTGTGAGCAGGTATCTGCATCAGCGTGTGAGTGAGTCAGTGGATTGCTGGTGTTGGTCCGGACGCCAGACAGTGTGGTAACTGACCTTCTGCTGCTGGCAGCTGAGCGTAGGCTTGTGGTAGCTGGCATGTTGGTGCTGGGATACGATTGAGACGCATAGTTCTGCTCCTGCAGCGCATCGTGAGTCTGAGCGAGGACGATATAGAATGAGAGGACCAGGAGGAGACGACCCCCCCGAACCCTCACCCTCATCTTCATCATCTGGACCTTCCAAGACGTCCCCCCCGACGCCTCGGCCTCCATCACTCCGGGCCGCCGTCCATCACTTCCTGAAGGGGAACTCGTTTCTTTACTCCTGGTTCATCCATGACAGTGATGTTTAGTTCTTTTTAACCTGAATGACCCGTTTTGTGGCGTTCAGAGTCTCTGGGTCATGACGTAGGCGTGCACTCTGCAGGTGGAGCGTGTTACCGTGAAGGGGCTCCTTCCTTCTGGGTGGTGCAGCACACGTGCTGACAGCCTCATGTACCCGGGTTACACCGTCTGACGTGTTGGTACCGACCGTCTTCCTGCTTCTCATGAGATCACAAACAGGAATCTTCTCTTTGCTCGGATGCTTCAAAGTATTTATTGTGTGTTTTTCTTTGTCATCGGTCGTCTTTCTGTTGGTTCTCGACTTTTAAAAAGTGATCAAATGTTTTGTTTTGTCATTTTAAAGACGACGACCCTCTTTAGGAAAATAAAAAGAAACGTGAAGGAACTCTGAAGTTGTCTTGTGAGGTGATCTTGTATCTAAAGGAGGTCACGCCTCCTCCACGTGGTCCAGTCGCTGTGCACGTGTCATCAAGGAGACAAACACGTATGACGTCATAAACTCATGAAGCTGCTTCATGAATAACAGCCTGTGCAGCTCCAACAACTACAGCTCAGCTGCTAAACTCTTGTTACATCATTTAAGTTCATGGTTTTGCTCTCCGGCACCAAATAAATACTTTGTTACTACAGCAGGAAAACTGTGGATCAACGTTTGTGTATAATTACAGTTGTATTTGGTTATTATTCTGCTGCTGGTTCTCAGTCGCGTGGATTCTCCTTAGTATCTGAAGCCACTGAACAGTTTCATCAACCTCGTGTATTAACTCACGTTAGAATTGATCTTTCTGTGGAACTCGTGTCGTTCACACTGACGAATTGTCACGTGATCAATAAACAATGAACTCGGCCATGTTTCCTGCATTAAACAAGACGTTTTTAATTAACATGAATATAAATATAACTTGTGTAAACCCGTCATTTCTGTTCAGTGTTCAGTTCAAGTTATTTATGAGGCAAAAGTAACTTGTTCAAGAGATGAATGTTTCCTTTTTTTCAACAATCACTCATCTTTATTTTTAAGTCTTATTACAAATATTCACAAAACAAATCAAAATGAGCCAAAGTGACTTTAAATAATTCAAACCACTTTTCACACCAAAAGAACATTTGCATCTATATTATTAATTCACTTTGTCCATTGACCTTTTATGCAGTATGAGAGTAACTTGATAAATGTAAGAATATATCAGCATTATGCTTCTGAATAAACCTCTTCAGTTTGTGAAAGAGCCTCAGGGAATAATTCATTTTTCATAGAATATAACTTGTGTAAACTTGTCATTTCTTGTCAGTGCTCAAGTTATTTATAAGGTATAAATGTATGTTTCTTTGTTTACAATCACTTATCTTTATAAGTCATCTTAAACATTTTCACAAAACAAATCATAATGAGCCAAAGTGACCACAAAAAGAACATTTGCATCTATATTATTAATTCACTTTCATGCACAATAACAACACAAAGTGTATTCTGTGAACATGATGGAAAGGTCAGAGGCGTTTATGAGAATATTAAATATTCAACAATATGTTTTCAGAGGCTTCACATCAGATACAATTTGTTTTGCTAATTTACTCAAAGTCAAACTTCAGCTTTGGATATTTAGTGAAAATAAAACAGTCTGGATTCAAAAGGTTGAAATAGATATTCTCCATAAGGGTCATGATACAGAAATAAAGAGAAAAACATACAGTATTTATATAAAATATGTACATTTATTCCCTTTAATGAATAAAATCATCACATGAAATCAGAGAATGATTAATTTACTCCGACAGGAGAGATGATCAGAGGAGCAGAGTTTCTACCATCGTAACCACCAGGACAGAAGAACGGGAAGAGCTTCTCAGTGAAGGAGCAGCCAGTGAAGGAGTAGATGAGAGCTGCAGCTTCTACGTCATAAAAGGAGACCACACCCTCCTCATAGTCCACAAACACCCCCACCTTCTGAGGACCAGACGTCACAGAGAGAACAACTGGAGGATCAGCAAGAGCTTTGTATTCATTTCCATTTATCAAACATATAGTCCAGTAACCATTCTGAGGTCTCAGTGGGATGATTTTCTTCCTGTTGACTGACTCTCTGTTCACTCCTAAAAACCACTGAGTCTTTCCTTCAACCTGAACCTCAAAGTAGAATCTGCCTGAAGAGAAACTCTGCTTTGTTAAAACACAGAGCCAGCTAGAAAATCTCTCTGGGTTGTTTGGGAGATTCTTCTCCACATCACCAAGTTTCACTTGTTTCCCATCGTCAGACAGGATGAGACGAGGATGAGCTGTTTGAGGATCAAGAGTCAGATCCACTGCAAACATCTGGACCTTCTTCTTCATCTCAGCAAACCACTTCTTCATCGTCTTACTGAGTGTCTCCTCCAGCTGAGACACAGCTCTCACCACAGTCCCCTCATATGAAGGACAAACACTGACCTCTGTCCAGTCCTTGGTGGGTGGTGGCTGATGAATGTTTGAGGACTGGAGAAGATGGAGGTGGTCTTCAGAGAGAGAGAGCTGCTCCACCTCAGCGCTCCTCTTCATCAGCTCAGAGATTTCCTCTTCCAGCTCTCTGATGAAAGCTTCAGCCTGTTTCTTTGTGGTTTCCTGCTTCTCTTCTATTGTTTTGAGGAACTCCTTCAAGCCTCTTTCAACAGACTCCATCAGATCAGTGAAGACCTGAACACCTTCTGCTTTCTCTCTGCCTGCATCTTCCTCACTGAGGTCGACCGAGTGTTTGATCTCCTGAATCTTCACTCTTCTCTTCTGGATCATCTGCTGGATTTCAGCCTCTTTCTTCTTCAGCTCGACCTTCTTTTCTTCATATTCTTCTTCCAGAGGAACATACTCATGGTTCTTGTGGTCTAAAATAGTGCAGAGCATGCAGACACACGTCTGGTCGCTCTTACAGAACAGCTCCAGAGGTTTATCGTGCTTCGTACACATCCTGCCTTCCAGGTTCTCCACAGGGTCCATCAGCTGATGTCTCTTCAGGCGTGAAACTGTCAGATGAGGCTCTAGGTGAGTCTCACAGTAGGAGAACAGACACACCAGGCAGGACTTGAGGGCCTTCACTTTGGTTCCAGTGCAGACGTCACAGGGAACTTCTCCTGGTTTGGACTCTTGTTGCTCTGAGCTGCTGCTGCTGGCTTTCTGCTGAGCAGACTGTCTGAACTGAACAACCATCTCAGAGATGAAGGTGTTGACCCTCAAATCAGGTCTGGTGATGAAGTCCTTCTTACACATTGGACACAGGTTCTGGTCGCTGGTGTTCCAGTGTTCATTGATGCAGTTCATGCAGAAGTTGTGTCCACATGGTGTGGTGACTGGATCAGTGAACACATCCAGACAGATGGAGCACAGGAACTGATCTTCAGATGGACCATAGTTTGCAGAAGCCATGTCTACACATATTGTGGAAGAGAAGAAAAATGTTTTATTTAAAATAGTTTTTATGAATAGTTTTATTTTGAAACCAGTCCAGAATGTGTCCACATGCTGTGAATAAAGAGCAGCACGCTAACAACGCTCTGCTTACTTGGTGACAAACACGTAGCGTCTCATTTAGATGACTCACACTAAAAGCCTCCAGCAGGTTCACTGTGGAACACGTTTAACGTGACGCACCAAGAGGAAACAGAGGAAGGGATCAGGAAACAGAGAGACACTAAAGTTTAAAGCACAGAGATTCAGCTCCAAGTGACTGAAGTCCTGGACAGTTTGAAGCTGTTAGACTGAGTTACTGTATCGTGGGACTGTGGATAAACACACGTGGTTTTATTGTTAACATTCTATCAAGTAGGAAGTGAACAGAGAGGAACTTCCTGCCTGAGTAAAGTACAAGTTGTGTGTTCTTCCTGCTTGTTGAAGGTGTAAATGTGACCAGCTGTACTCACCAGTGTTCTGAAGAGACTCTGCTGTGTTGCTGAGGAACACCTGATGACGTCACTTTGACTTTTCTCTCAGAGAAACACGGAGACTTGTCTTCACTGCAGCGCGTCTGCCTCTCTGACCAACAAACTTTCATTTCTGGAGAGTGACGTCGAAGCTCCGCCCCTCCACGTAGCCCCGCCTCCTACTGGAGCGTCATCAGCAGGTGAGGTTTGTTTCCTCCTCTGATTCATGCTGACTGCTGGAGTCGTGATGCTTTTTGCCTCCAGTCAGTCACGTGAGCCTCATAATATTTGTCCCTGGTGTCCCTCTCATACGCAGCTCAGAGTCTTCTGAGGACATGAGTCACTTACGTTCGTTTAATTAATCTGAACTCGTTAAAAGGTGAAAATGTTATGAAATGCAGTTAAACTGTAGGTGTCACTTGGTGGCTGCAGTGAGGTTTTCATAACTGAACATTTTCATAAAATACTGTCATACCTTTTAGCTCAGATTCAATTTAAACTGCTTAGTTACTTGTTCCAGTGAACTTACAGGTTTTAAGCATTTTTATTAAAATGTGAACGCAGCATCAATAATAATAATAACAACAACATATAAAGAAACGTGTTTATTGATTTTCTCACAGAAAGTTACAGAAGAGAAGATCAATAACTAGCAAATCCTTGTTAAATATGAAGCTAAGAGGCAGAATGCGGTTAGCTTAGCTTAGCATGAGAAGCAGTCAGGTCACTTTGTTAAGCAGCGACTTATGTTATTTTTTTGTATCCGAAGGTCGACACAAAATTCATACGTCAAGTGAACAATTAAATGTGAGTCAATCAGAAAAACATCCAGAGCTGAAATGACTCGTCTGTCCTCTGGATTGTGTCGTTAGTTGTGCGGACGTAACCTCTCCAAATGCGCACGTGGCACGAATCCACATCAACGATGGTCATTCATTCCTTTTGGTTCATCCTTTGACTTTTCATTCGTCCTCACACCTTTTCGTTTCTACGAGACGTAGATCGCATATCAGATATGAACTCTCTTTTTGGGCTTCGGCCTCTTCTTCTTCTTCAGTACTTTCTTTTGGCTCTTTTTGTTCGGATCCACCATCTCTCCTCTGAACGAGGTGGAGCTCTTGGTCGGATTCTGCTGGTTTCCGGTGAAATTCTTCCGGCCTGCTCTCTCCTGACGGGACACGGGGCTCTTCACGGGGCCCTTCACGGGGCCCTTCACGGGGCCCTTCACGGGGCCCTTGCCGGTCCTCCTCCTGCCGCCACCTTTATTCGTCTGTTTCTCCGCCCTCCTCACCCGGAGGGGTCTGCCGTCCAGTTTTGTGCCGTCCAGTTCCAGCGCCAGCTGCACGGAGTCGGAGCTCTGCAGCGGAGAGACCGACAGAGAAAGTCTCACGTGAAACCCGCCGTGACATCGAGACAAGAAGAGCTGGAACAGGAAAAGGCGCCGCCCGGGTCGCCGTACCTCAAACAGGACGTAGCCGAATCCTTTCCCGAATCCAGAGTCCTGGTCCCGCACCAGTCGTACGGCCTCCACTTTGCCACAGTCCTCAAAGTGCTGCCGGATGGCCAGTTCGTTCATCTCTAAACACACACACACACACACACGCACAGCAGGTTACACTCTGACTTCAGACACAAGGGTCCGACATCCAATCAGAGAGAGACTCACCGAATGACAGATTCCCCACAAACACGGAGCGCTTGTTGTCGTACTGCAAGACAAGGACCACGTCAGCAGACACGTTCAACGGGTTCCAACATTTCAACAGACGGGAGCTCGGACACTCACCCTGGATCCGTCCGCCACCTTGTCCACTCGGATGTGAAAGTCCTTCTGGATCTCCAGGCCGTTCCTGTGGGCGGAGACAAGCGGAGGAAAAGCGGGTTGTTGGCCGAGCGCACACACACACACACGCACGCTCACACGGCGCCTCGGCCCACGCGAGTGATTTCAAAGACTGACCTCTCCAGCGCGAGGGCGACCGCGTCCTCGCTGGAGAACACCACGTAGGCGTTCACGCTGGTCTTCTGGGGATGGACTTTGCGTCTGTGAAGTAAAGAAAAGTCAAAGTTCTGGTCGTTCATCCACTCTGAACTGGACAGACAGAAAAACCTACTGGATCACGGCTACTTTGCGGGACATGCCGGGATCCTCTCTGGCCTGCAGGGGGCGAACAGAGCAGACCACGTTACCGTTTCACCGATGGACTCGAGTTACACGAGCTTCACTGGATAGAAACACTCGTTTATGTACGAGAGTCAACAAAGGAAGACCCGGTTCTTTCTTCCTCCCTCTTAAATAATGACAAACAACAGCGGTGAAGTACAGAAGCAGAGAGAGAAGGCGGACCAGCGCTCAGCTGTTACTTGGCATTATTTATTTATTATTTGTGTGTTGTATTTTTACCACAGAGCGAAAGCGGATGGAGTCGATGGATCCATAATCTTTGAAGAGGGCGCACAGCATCTGAAACACAAAGGGCCCTTTTAACCCTCTCATGCAGGAATAAAACATTTAAACTTAAAAGCAGTGACGCTGCAGAAGCCAAATGTTCCGTCATTGAACATGTTTTCAGATCTCTTGAGTTTGTTCATTGAAATCCTGGTTTTAAACTGGACTCCATTTCAACTGCGTACCTTCTTGGTGCAGCTCGGGGGAAGGTTGCCAACAAACACCGTCCTCTTGTTCTTTATGGCCTCCTCCTCTTTCTGGGCTTTCAGCTTCTGCCTCTTCAGCACCCAGTGCTCCGTACTGTTCCCCGCCTCCGCCTCCTCCTCCTCCGCCTCCGGCACTTTCCTCTTCTTCCCTCTAGCGGAGGCCGCCTTCCCTCGCTCGTCCTCGTCTGCGTTCTGTAAGCTGATCTCCCTAAAAGGCGACAGAGGAGGATGAGAAAAATAATGGAGAGTATGTACCAACGTTGGGGAGGAAACTAGGGGAAAGAACAGAACAAGCAAGAAATAAAAGAGAAGGAGACAACTGTGTGGATTAACGAATCCACCGATTCTAAACTCACCTGTTTTCCAGCTGCTGGTCGGCATCTGATTTCTGCTTAGGTAGCGTCTGACTGGACTGAACTTTGACCTCTGGAGTTTCCTTCTGTCGCTCCTTTGCTTCTGTGCTCTTCTGAACAGGCTGCCGTAAAATTGTCAAATGTTAAAGTCTTAGTTTATCTTAATGTCACATTGTCACTGAAGCGCTGATTTGAGGGTCGTTCTTCACTAAACGTCTGTCTGTGAGTTACCTTCGGTGGAGGCTGGAACAGAACCGCCCCCGTCGGTGCAGCGGTGCTGAATAAAGTCGACAGCGATCCGGAGGCTGCAGATTTCTTCTTGAACAAACTGCCTGACACCTGACCCACCTCGTAGTCAGCTGCCAGCTGCCCCGACAACGCCTCGACACTGAAATGAAGAAGGAACAGGTAATGGATCTTTGTCACAAGGGTCCAGAATACACAGTTTGAGTCTTATAATAACCACATGGATCCCAGTGAAATGTTATACCTCTGTAGCGTACATAATTGTGCTGAATACAATGTGTAAATAGCTTAAGTTTCTATCATATTCTGCAGCTGTTTGAAGAAATAATAATACATGAAAATGTAGAGCTCAACTTTTGGTTGATTAATTCATCAGAAAAAACAACCGGCAAACATATTTGATAACTGTTATATTTTGGGTGATTTGCTGCTTTTAATAATGTCCCTCTCTGGAGAATATTAGTAATATGGGTTTGAGATTTGGTTTGCTGGCTGGACAACACAACAAACCTCAGCTGATGTGTTTTAGCTAGAAGTTACACCTCAACAAACCATTGATCAGTCATTTTAATGTTTTTAACACGTAAGTACATTTTCCTGATTTTTTTTAAATACATATACTTCATGCAGGACCTATACGGTGTGATATTAGTAGTTTTAAGGTTCCGTTTCGGGGTGATATATTCTATAATATGTTATCTTCGTTCGCCTGAATGAAGATAAAATATTCGAGGGAATAAAAAACGTGTAAACAAACCTCTTCTTGAGTTTCTTCTTCATGGTTTCTTCGGGAGATTATCCCGAGAAATTATGTTGGTTTCTGTTTATTATGTAATTAAAAAACGAGTAATTTATCAGGAGAAACAAATAAATCAAATCCTACGACTTTACCGCCGATTAAACAAGAGTATTTTTCACAAACGTTCACACGTTTTCCTCAGCAGCAAACGGCCTGTACGACTACACAACATATCCGGTAGGAACAACATCCCTGCGACACAATGGTTCCGTTTTCTTACATTAACGCTGATTTAATATCGCCAAACGGACCGCTGCAGACACATCATATCGGGAACCATAGGGGTTAAAGACACAGTTAGTACATTTACATGTATATTTCATATCATACGTGTTTACCATCCGTTTAATTGTGAAAACATTTGTGCAAAATCGGTGCAACCTCGTAATCCGTCGCTTCCGGTGAGCCGGAGACGTCTAATGTTTTGGGTTGCAGCGCTGACCTGCACGCGAGGCATCAGCTAGAACACCTGTATTATATATAATATATATTATCTACTCTAACCCGCCGCAGTAATCTACTCCCTTTATATTGTGTTTTTCATCCTTTGGGGGGATCGTGGTTCACATCCGGCGCGAGCTACCGACTCATTGTGCCGCTCATGACAGAAAGCGGGGCTTCGATGGGAGCTAACCGGACCGAACCGGACGGACCGGCGGTACCGACCGACCTGCTGGGCAGGCGGGTTTCCTGCGACGGCGAGCGGGCCTCGGTCCTGTACGTGGGCCCGGTGCCACCGACGGAAGGTGGGTTAAAAAATCCCCGGGACCCGGTTGGTGGAGGTTCGGTCTCCGGTCGGTGGGATGCACATTAAGAAGTATCGTTACTACCTTCAGTACTGTTTGAAGTATCGTTACTACCTTCAGTACTGGTTTGAAGTAACGTTACTAGCTTCAGTTCTGGTTTGAAGTATCGTTACTCCCTTCAGTACTGGTTTGAAGTAAATTTACTACCTTCAGTACTGGTTTGAAGTATCGTTACTACCTTCAGTACTGTTTGAAGTTACGTTACTACCTTCAGTACTGGTTTGAAGTATCGTTACTACCTTCAGTACTGTTTGAAGTAACGTTACTACCTTCAGTACTGGTTTGATGTAACGTTACTACCTTCAGTACTGGTTTGAAGTATCGTTACTACCTTCAGTACTGGTTTGAAGTATCGTTACTACCTTCAGTACTGGTTTGATGTAACGTTACTACCTTAAGTATTGGTTTCCAGTACTTGTGGTACTTTATACTTTATACTACTGTTACTCCTCAGAGAGAAATGTGCAGCTTTTCCTTACATTTATTTGACAGCTTTCGATTCAGATTGTTGAAATATGAACCGTATTATGTTTATTTATTATTATGACTTTGTTATGAAGCTTTTCGGATTCTTTGGCGGAATTCACCCTGCTGTGTATAATGTTATTCAAATACGCTCAATTAAAGTAATGAACACAAGATGGCATCAATAATTCTAACACGATAAAATAAATGTCATATTATTTAGAATTGAGTGATTTGGTGCCTGAGACATTTGACTTACTGCACTTTATTTTGACATTTTGGCTTTTAGTAAAATAACAGTGGCTCTGAGAGAGACAGCGTAACATTTAAAAAGTCCCCCGGGGCCCATTGGGGGGACTTAAAGACAACCGGTAACCACACTTTGAGTGGAGTTCCTCCCCAGACGCGAGTGCAGTCGTCAGAAGCCGAGTTCCATCATTCCAGCACTTGTGTCTGCGTTGTGCGTTCAGGGCTGTGGCTCGGCGTCGAGTGGGACAACCCGCAGAGAGGCAAACACGACGGCGCCCACGGGGGGGTCCAGTACTTCACCTGCAGGTGCTTCTGAGTTGTCGAGTCGCCATCTTCCGCTTTGACGACGAGCGTGTTTCCACTCGCTTATTGAATCGCTGATCTGATGTTCTCAGGCGCCCCGGTGGAGGCTCCATGTCCGCCCGGTCCAAGGTGGGCCCTGGGGGTGGACTTCCTGGCCGCTGTGGCTCGGGGTGTACCAGATCGACGCGGAGGAGGTGACGAGCAACGACATCAGCTTCGGCCCCAAAAAGGTCAAGTGGGGCAAGATCACGGAGCGCAGGTACGACCTCCTCGCCGTCCTCTCTCGGGGGGAGGGGGGGAGGGGGGCTCTGAAGTAGGGTTACGGCTCAGGGAACTTCTTCATGTCATTTTCCATTTTGTCTCTGCAGCTATGAGAGCCTCCCCTCGGCGCTGCTGGGCAGCTGCGAGGTGAACGGGCCGGGGGCCGATGGAGAGATCAGGAAAACGACGCCAAGTATCTTTTCACAGACTCACCAGCTCCTGCACGGTAGTAGATGTAGAATATATATATGTATATGAAATGGGTGTGACCTTGACGGCGGGGATCAGACGTGCAGGTGCTGGACCTGTCCGCCTCCCTGCTGTCCCGCTGGGAGGACGTGTCGGCCATCGCTCAGCAGCTGGAGCATCTGGAGAGCCTCACCCTGATGTACGCGTTTGCTCTGTCGGGTCTTGATGTCGTCGTTCTGTCTCTTCGCTGAGCGCTTCTCCTTGTTGTTTTTCTCAACGCTTTCACAGGAACAACAGGCTGCGTCTGCCCGCCGACGTCTCCGCCCACCGCCGGTCGTTCCGCGGCCTGCGAGTGCTCGCCCTGAACGGCTGTGAGCTCACCTGGCCGCAGGTAGGCGGCGGCACGGCGAACCGACCATTCGCCCCCATGACAGCATTCTAGCCTTGTTCTCTGGTTTTTCCTTTACATTTGCTTTGTACACAGAAAAAAAAGTATAAGTACATTCATCATCAATGCATTTGTACACACATTTTGACAGACATATTTATTTTACACAAACAATTCTTGGCAACATTTAATGATTTAGCGTCATGTTGTTATTTGCCCCCTCAGATCCTGCAGTGCGCCCCCATGTGGCCGCAGCTGGAGGAACTTTCGGTGCAAGACAACGACATCACGGAGCTGCAGAGGTGATGATCCGAGCGCCTGATTCGCCCCACGTGCACGCGCTTTGTGTAACTCTGGTGTGCGTGTGTGTGCGTGTGTGTGTGTGTGTGTCGAAGGCCTGAAGGAGTGCTGCAGTCCCTGAGGAGCCTCAACGTGTCCGGTAACCGTTTAGCGCAGCACACCGTGCCGGCTCTGGCAGCTCTGCTCAGGTACGGCGCGCAGAGACACGCCCACACAGCACCGCCGGCGGTTGTTCTTAGCCTTCATCACAATAAGAGCTATTTGTAAATATTAGCATTCCACAGATAGAGATCAGGCCTCTCAGACGTCTCAATCAAACCGACTCTCTTTGTTTGTTGAATTTAGGGATGAACGATGTAAGGAAAATATTAAATTGCAATATTCTTTTCAGCTGTTTTTTTTCTTCTGAAATGAAATATAAAGCTGCTTTATTGCAGACTGGAGTACCTGAACTTGTCCAAGACCGGACTGTCCGACATTCGATTTGATGATGCTGCTCCTGGTAAAAAAATACTACTAATAATAACTCACACATTCATAATACGACCACGCATTTCACATCCTTAGTTAACATTGTTTTTAATTAATTAATAATCAATATTCAACACTGCTGCTCATTGGTCCGTCCTGCAGGGGGTCAAACAGACATGTTCCCAGCGCTGACGAAGCTCAACCTGGAGCACAACAACATCTCCGAGGTCTGTGCGGCTACACACACACACACACACACACACATCAGTGTGTGTTAGTGTGGGTCACTTTGGCCAACTCTCTCTCTCTCTCTCCCCCTCAGTGGTGTGTGGTGAATGAACTGGCGAAGCTTCCCCGTCTGACTCACTTGTTGTGTCACTCTAACCAACTGGTGAGCAGTGACGGAAACCCCAAAACAGCCAATCAGCTGCTCATCGCCAAACTGGGAGGGCTGGTCTCCCTCAACAACTGTGAGGTGAGATGAACCTGTGTGTGTGTGTGTGTGTGTGTGTGTGTGTGTGTGTGTCTGTGTGTGTGTGTGTGTATGTCGCCGTGCTGACCCGCTGCCGTGATTCCCATCAGATCCACCACAAAGAGAGGAGGGGGGCGGAGATCGACTACATCAAGATGTTTGGGGGGGAGTGGCTGGAGGCGGGCGGGGGGAGGCGGCCCAGCGCCCAGTTCGTCAGCCAGCACCCTCGCTACCTGAGCCTCATCGCCAGTAAGTCCCAGCACGGCGACCCGACTCTGTGCTGACACCTGGAGGCGGCTCGAGGAAACTCCTCCATCAAACTCACTGTTATATACTCATTACATATCTTCATTATTTATATATATATCTACAAATCACAATATGCCACCAATGATTGTTAAATAAAGTGTCTGGTTATTATTATTTGGACATCCCCTCTTATGACCTGAAGTGATGATGATGAAGCTCTTTGTGTGTTTCAGAGTACGGTGCTCCAGAGGAAGGAGAGCTGAAGAAGCCGGAGCCCTTTGCCCTGAAAAATCAGCTGTTGAGTAGGACCCGCCTCTTTTCTGCTCTCTGATTGGCTAATATCTTACGTTCTTACGTATATATATATATATATATATTTTACCTTCACTGATCCTCTCGTCTTTCCTCGCCAGAGATCACGTTTGTGTTTCCTGACGCCGCCGACCGGGAGCCGATCGAGAAGAAACTTCTGGGTAAAAGTCAAAAGTCGCGCACATCTCACCCGTCAGCTCGCATCAGCACCTTAAGTGACCCGATCAAACTGGGATGAGTTGACCCGTGTCTGTATCTGCAGCCTCCATGCTGGTCCAGAAGGTGAAGGGACTCCTGTACAGACTGCTGAAGGTTCCTGCTGCAGATCTGAAGCTCACCTACACCAGCCCCAAGGTAACACCTCCATCAGCCGTCAGATGTCCCTCACTCCACCTCATTCCATCGTATTTAGAGCAGTTCAACCATACGGCGATATCCTGGTGAAGCATTTAATGCCAATAAAGTCTGAATATTCATGATGCAGAATCATTCATCACTTTTTCTTCTGTAGAAGTTGGGGACCGAGTTTGAGATCGACAGTGACCTGAAGACTCTTCAGTTCTACTCCATAGAGGACGGGGACCAGGTGTTGGTCCGCTGGTCCTGATCCTGCAGGTGGGAGGGAGGGAGGGTTCTCACGGAACAGAACAGCGGATCTGCACTGGCTTCCCCTCAGAGGACACCACGAGGGACATCAGGAACATCTCATTCCGTTTCTCTGGTTCCTTCATTCGGAACCGTCACATGACGTCGAGCCTTCAAGGGTTCAATAAACAAACGCTTCCTTTGTGTGTCGTTTGTGGGATTGTTTCTTAACAGAGACTCCGGGTGCCGGAGAGCAGTGATGAATAACTTGTAGTGTCACTAAAGTCCTAAATAAAGGCTTCTCGTGTGCAGCGGCTCAAGTTAATATCTTCTATCCAAAAGTTTGAAACATTTTCTCTGCTTCAGGAAAGTCCACAAACTCCTCTGAACCTCACTTTGCTTTTCATAAGACGTCCGAGCACGTCATGACAACGTCGACCAAAAAGGAAAATTGGATGTCAAATGTTGCCTTTATATTTAAATAAGACAAGATGTTGTGTGTCCACGAATGTTCCATCAAACCCGACTTTTAAACTGGACTCCATCTCAACTGCGTACCCTCCTGGTGCAGCTCAGAGGAAAGATTGCCAACAAACACCGTCCTCTTGCTCTTTATGGCCTCCTCCTCTCTCTGAGCTTTCAGCTTCTGCCTCTTCAGCACCCAGTGCTCCGTACTGTTCCCCGCCTCCGCCTCCTCCTCCGCCGCCTCCGAGCACTTTCCTCTTCTTCCCTCTAGCGAAGACCGCCTTCCCTCGCTCGTCCTCGTCTGCGTTCTGTAAGCTGATCTCCCTAAAAGGCGACAGAGGAGGATGAGAAAAATAATGGAGAGTATGTACCAACGTTGGGGAGGAAACTAGGGGAAAGAACAGAACAAGCAAGAAATAAAAGAGAAGGAGACAACTGTGTGGATTAACGAATCCACCGATTCTAAACTCACCTGTTTTCCAGCTGCTGGTCGGCATCTGATTTCTGCTTAGGTAGCGTCTGACTGGACTGAACTTTGACCTCTGGAGTTTCCTTCTGTCGCTCCTTTGCTTCTGTGCTCTTCTGAACAGGCTGCCGTAAAATTGTTAAATGTTAAAGTCTTAGTTTATCTTAATGTCACATTGTCACTGAAGCGCTGATTTGAGGGTCGTTCTTCACTAAACGTCTGTCTGTGAGTTACCTTCGGTGGAGGCTGGAACAGAACCGCCCCCGTCGGTGCAGCGGTGCTGAATAAAGTCGACAGCGATCCGGAGGCTGCAGATTTCTTCTTGAACAAACTGCCTGACACCTGACCCACCTCGTAGTCAGCTGCCGGCTGCCCCGACAACGCCTCGACACTGAAATGAAGAAGGAACAGGTAATGGATCTTTGTCACAAGGGTCCAGAATACACAGTTTGAGTCTTATAATAACCACATGGATCCCAGTGAAATGTTATACCTCTGTAGCGTACATAATTGTGCTGAATACAATGTGTAAATAGCTTAAGTTTCTATCATATTCTGCAGCTGTTTGAAGAAATAATAATACATGAAAATGTAGAGCTCAACTTTTGGTTGATTAATTCATCAGAAAAAACAACCGGCAAACATATTTGATAACTGTTATATTTTGGGTGATTTGCTGCTTTTAATAATGTCCCTCTCTGGAAAATATTAGTAATATGGGTTTGAGGTTTGGTTTGCTGGCTGGACAACACAACAAACCTCAGCTGATGTGTTTTAGCTATAAGTTACACCTCAACAAACCATTGATCAGTCATTTTAATGTTTTTAACACGTAAGTACATTTTCCTGATTTATTTTAAATACATATACTTCATGCAGGACCTATACGGTGTGATAATAGTAGTTTTAAGGTTCCGTTTCGGGCTGATATATTCTATAATATGTTATCTTCGTTCGCCTAAATGAAGATAAAATATTCGAGGGAATAAAAAACGTGTAAACAAACCTCTTCTTGAGTTTCTTCTTCATGGTTTCTTCGGGAGATTATCCCGAGAAATTATGTTGGTTTCTGTTTATTGTGTAATTAAAAAACGAGTAATTTATCAGGAGAAACAAATAAATCAAATCCTACGACTTTACCGCCGATTAAACAAGAGTATTTTTCACAAACGTTCACACGTTTTCCTCAGCAGCAAACGGCCTGTACGACTACACAACATATCCGGTAGGAACAACATCCCTGCGACACAATGGTTCCGTTTTCTTACATTAACGCTGATTTAATATCGCCAAACGGACCGCTGCAGACACATCATATCGGGAACCATAGGGGTTAAAGACACAGTTAGTACATTTACATGTATATTTCATATCATACGTGTTTACCATCCGTTTAATTGTGAAAACATTTGTGCAAAATCGGTGCAACCTCGTAATCCGTCGCTTCCGGTGAGCCGGAGACGTCTAATGTTTTGGGTTGCAGCGCTGACCTGCACGCGAGGCATCAGCTAGAACACCTGTATTATATATAATATATATTATCTACTCTAACCCGCCGCAGTAATCTACTCCCTTTATATTGTGTTTTTCATCCTTTGGGGGGATCGTGGTTCACATCCGGCGCGAGCTACCGACTCATTCTGCCGCTCATGACAGAAAGCGGGGCTTCGATGGGAGCTAACCGGACCGAACCGGACGGACCGGCGGTACCGACCGACCTGCTGGGCAGGCGGGTTTCCTGCGACGGCGAGCGGGCCTCGGTCCTGTACGTGGGCCCGGTGCCACCGACGGAAGGTGGGTTAAAAAATCCCCGGGACCCGGTTGGTGGAGGTTCGGTCTCCGGTCGGTGGGATGCACATTAAGAAGTATCGTTACTACCTTCAGTACTGGTTTGAAGTATCGTTACTACCTTCAGTACTGGTTTGAAGTATCGTTACTACCTTCAGTACTGGTTTGAAGTATCGTTACTACCTTCAGTACTGGTTTGAAGTAACGTTACTACCTTCAGTACTGGTTTGAAGTATCGTTACTACCTTCAGTACTGGTTTGAAGTAACGTTACTACCTTCAGTACTGGTTTGATGTAACGTTACTACCTTCAGTACTGGTTTCCAGTACTTGTGGTACTTTATAGTTTATACTACTGTTACTCCTCAGAGAGAAATGTGCAGCTTTTTATTACATTTATTTGACAGCTTTCGATTCAGATTATTGAAATATGAACCGTATTATGTTTATTTATTATTATGATTATGACTTCGTTATGAAACTTTACGGATTCTTTGGCAGAATTCACCCTGCTGTGTATAATGTCATTCAAATACGCTCAATTAAAGTAATGAACACAAGATGGCATCAATAATTCTAACACAATAAAATAAATTTCATATTATTATTATTATTATTATTATTATTATGTCTGCGTTGTGCGTTCAGGGCTGTGGCTCGGCGTCGAGTGGGACAACCCGCAGAGAGGCAAACACGACGGCGCCCACGGGGGGGTCCAGTACTTCACCTGCAGGTGCTTCTGAGTTGTCGAGTCGCCATCTTCCGCTTTGACGACGAGCGTGTTTTCCACTCGCTTATTTGAAATCGCCTGATCTGATGGTTCTCAGGCGCCCCGGTGGAGGCTCCTTTGTCCGCCCGGCCAAGGTGGGCCTGGGGGTGGACTTCCTGGCCGCTGTGGCTCGGGTGTACCAGATCGACGCGGAGGAGGTGACGAGCAACGACATCAGCTTCGGCCCCAAAAAGGTCAAGTGGGGCAAGATCACGGAGCGCAGGTACGACCTCCTCGCCGTCCTCTCTCGGGGGGAGGGGGGGTGGGGGTGGGCTCTGAAGTAGGGTTACGGCTCAGGGAACTTCTTCATGTCATTTTCCATTTTGTCTCTGCAGCTATGAGAGCCTCCCCTCGGCGCTGCTGGGCAGCTGCGAGGTGAACGGGCCGGGGGCCGATGGAGAGATCAGGAAAACGACGCCAAGTATCTTTTCACAGACTCACCAGCTCCTGCACGGTAGTAGATGTAGAATATATATATGTATATGAAATGGGTGTGACCTTGACGGCGGGGATCAGACGTGCAGGTGCTGGACCTGTCCGCCTCCCTGCTGTCCCGCTGGGAGGACGTGTCGGCCATCGCTCAGCAGCTGGAGCATCTGGAGAGCCTCACCCTGATGTACGCGTTTGCTCTGCCGGGTCTTGATGTCGTCGTTCTGTCTCTTCGCTGAGCGCTTCTCCTTGTTCTTTTTCTCAACGCTTTCACAGGAACAACAGGCTGCGTCTGCCCGCCGACGTCTCCGCCCACCGCCGGTCGTTCCGCGGCCTGCGAGTGCTCGCCCTGAACGGCTGTGAGCTCACCTGGCCGCAGGTAGGCGGCGGCACGGCGAACCGACCATTCGCCCCCATGACAGCATTCTAGCCTCGTTCTCTGGTTTTTCCTTTACATTTGCTTTGTACACAGAAAAAAAAGTATAAGTACATTCATCATCAATGCATTTGTACACACATTTTGACAGACATATTTATTTTACACAAACAATTCTTGGCAACATTTAATGATTTAGCGTCATGTTGTTATTTGCCCCCTCAGATCCTGCAGTGCGCCCCCATGTGGCCGCAGCTGGAGGAACTTTCCGTGCAAGACAACGACATCACGGAGCTGCAGAGGTGATGATCCGAGCGCCTGATTCGCCCCACGTGCGCACGCGCTTTGTGTAACTCTGGTGTGCGTGTGTGTGCGTGTGTGTGTGTGTCGAAGGCCTGAAGGAGTGCTGCAGTCCCTGAGGAGCCTCAACGTGTCCGGTAACCGTTTAGCGCAGCACACCGTGCCGGCTCTGGCAGCTCTGCTCAGGTACGGCGCGCAGAGACACGCCCACACAGCACCGCCGGCGGTTGTTCTTAGCCTTCATCACAATAAGAGCTATTTGTAAATATTAGCATTCCACAGATAGAGATCAGGCCTCTCAGACGTCTCAATCAAACCGACTCTCTTTGTTTGTTGAATTTAGGGATGAACGATGTAAGGAAAATATTAAATTGCAATATTCTTTTCAGCTGTTTTTTTTCTTCTGAAATGAAATATAAAGCTGCTTTATTGCAGACTGGAGTACCTGAACTTGTCCAAGACCGGACTGTCCGACATTCGATTTGATGATGCTGCTCCTGGTAAAAAATACTACTAATAATAACTCACACATTCATAATACGACCACGCATTTCACATCCTTAGTTAACATTGTTTTTAATGAATTAATAATTAATATTCAACACTGCTGCTCATTGGTCCGTCCTGCAGGGGGTCAAACAGACATGTTCCCAGCGCTGACGAAGCTCAACCTGGAGCACAACAACATCTCCGAGGTCTGTGCGGCTACACACACACACACACACACACACATCAGTGTGTGTTAGTGTGGGTCACTTTGGCCAACTCTCTCTCTCTCTCTCTCTCTCCCCCTCAGTGGTGTGTGGTGAATGAACTGGCGAAGCTTCCCCGTCTGACTCACTTGTTGTGTCACTCTAACCAACTGGTGAGCAGTGACGGAAACCCCAAAACAGCCAATCAGCTGCTCATCGCCAAACTGGGAGGGCTGGTCTCCCTCAACAACTGTGAGGTGAGATGAACCTGTGTGTGTGTGTGTGTGTGTGTGTGTGTGTGTGTGTGTGTGTGTGTGTGTCGCCGTGCTGACCCGCTGCCGTGATTCCCATCAGATCCACCACAAAGAGAGGAGGGGGGCGGAGATCGACTACATCAAGATGTTTGGGGGGGAGTGGCTGGAGGCGGGCGGGGGGAGGCGGCCCAGCGCCCAGTTCGTCAGCCAGCACCCTCGTTACCTGAGCCTCATCGCCAGTAAGTCCCAGCACGGCGACCCGACTCTGTGCTGACACCTGGAGGCGGCTCGAGGAAACTCCTCCATCAAACTCACTGTTATATACTCATTACATATCTTCATTATTTATATATATATCTACAAATCACAATATGCCACCAATGATTGTTAAATAAAGTGTCTGGTTATTATTATTTGGACATCCCCTCTTATGACCTGAAGTGATGATGATGAAGCTCTTTGTGTGTTTCAGAGTACGGTGCTCCAGAGGAAGGAGAGCTGAAGAAGCCGGAGCCCTTTGCCCTGAAAAATCAGCTGTTGAGTAGGACCCGCCTCTTTTCTGCTCTCTGATTGGCTAATATCTTACGTATATATATTTTACCTTCACTGATCCTCTCGTCTTTCCTCGCCAGAGATCACGTTTGTGTTTCCTGACGCCGCCGACCGGGAGCCGATCGAGAAGAAACTTCTGGGTAAAAGTCAAAAGTCGCGCACATCTCACCCGTCAGCTCGCATCAGCACCTTAAGTGACCCGATCAAACTGGGATGAGTTGACCCGTGTCTGTATCTGCAGCCTCCATGCTGGTCCAGAAGGTGAAGGGACTCCTGTACAGACTGCTGAAGGTTCCTGCTGCAGATCTGAAGCTCACCTACACCAGCCCCAAGGTAACACCTCCATCAGCCGTCAGATGTCCCTCACTCCACCTCATTCCATCGTATTTAGAGCAGTTCAACCATACGGCGATATCCTGGTGAAGCATTTAATGCCAATAAAGTCTGAATATTCATGATGCAGAATCATTCATCACTTTTTCTTCTGTAGAAGTTGGGGACCGAGTTTGAGATCGACAGTGACCTGAAGACTCTTCAGTTCTACTCCATAGAGGACGGGGACCAGGTGTTGGTCCGCTGGTCCTGATCCTGCAGGTGGGAGGGAGGGAGGGTTCTCACGGAACAGAACAGCGGATCTGCACTGGCTTCCCCTCAGAGGACACCACGAGGGACATCAGGAACATCTCATTCCGTTTCTCTGGTTCCTTCATTCGGAACCGTCACATGACGTCGAGCCTTCAAGGGTTCAATAAACAAACGCTTCCTTTGTGTGTCGTTTGCGGGATTGTTTCTTAACAGAGACTCCGGGTGCCGGAGAGCAGTGCTGAATAACTTGTAGTGTCACTAAAGTCCTAAATAAAGGCTTCTCGTGTGCAGCGGCTCAAGTTAATATCTTCTATCCAAAAGTTTGAAACATTTTCTCTGCTTCAGGAAAGTCCACAAACTCCTCTGAACCTCACTTTGCTTTTCATAAGACGTCCGAGCACGTCATGACAACGTCGACCAAAAAGGAAAATTGGATGTCAAATGTTGCCTTTATATTTAAATAAGACAAGATGTTGTGTGTCCACGAATGTTCCATCAAACCCGACATCCCGACCCGCTCACGCATCTGATAAACTGCTCGTTCGTCCTCACTGAGAGCAAAACACTCGACTAGATCACCAAAAAGCGTCAGCTAAATGACATGTGATGTAATAATGGATTTTTAAAAAAAAGACACAATTAGTTATACTATGTTACCTCATAACGAATTACAAAATGTCATCATATAGTATGTAAAAAAATATGTATGTAAATAAAAAAACACGCCCATTCAGCCGGGCGGAGCTGCAGAATGACGACACGTTTTCTTTATTGAGACACACACACACATTAGAGAAAATATGAGATGGTTTTTTGTTGTTTGTTTACTTTTATTTTAGATGAAAACAGATTTCGGTGACTGAAGTCTTCACTGTGAAAACACCTCGAGTCGTCGTTCGGTGGATCACCACCAATAAACAGCACAGGAGCTCATTATTTACACGTTCATATAAAAATACACTGAGTTGTAACAATAGAAAACACTGTACGCGTTGTGAGGTCCTCTTATGAAATACTGAGCTTAAAGATCTAATTTTAACATCAAGGATTGATCAAATATAGAAATACAGTTCATTATGATAACAGAATTGTTTCATTTTACAATTAAAGATTAGTACATTTAGTCAGAAACAAACAATCAGCCTTTATTTAGCTTCATCTTTGCTGATTGTCAACAAAAAAACGCCTCCGATGGTTTTGTGTTTATGTTTTTTAAACAGTTTGCTATTTAAGAAAAAAACAAAACAGATTTCAATCAGAAAATCTTTGTCAAGAGACTTTTGTAATCTTAAAAAAAGAAAAGAAAAAAACGACAACATCCGTACAATTCATTGAATTAAATCACTGCAATAAAGCTTTCAATTCTCGTTAGAACGTTGAAACCTGGAGTTGATGCGATCGCCTTCCGCCTCTATTGATTATTGATCAGTCGACTGCCGGCTCCGCAGGAAGAACTTTTTGTAAAATGAGCTTTTTTATCTTTTATTTTGAGAAAGCTTTTAAAGGCCCCGAGGATCCTTTCGCCTCCGGTACTTTGATCTTTGTAGAACAGAATTATATGATTGTTGTACGCAGTTATCTATAAGAAATCAATAAGCAGTTTCACTTTTACAAATACATGAAAACACAACAGGAAGTCCAACGTTTGATACCTTTTCAAATAACTTATCAACTGTTTGGTCAATGTGGTCATTTAAATAATCCCTGTACTTTAGATTTATCGTCAACTTTCTTCTCATTTTTGGAGAGAAACTTCAACCAGGAGTCGGATCACAAACGGCGTCTCACCTGCAAGCGTGACATCACGAGCACAGCGAGGTCCGAAGGGCCAGAGGCACACTGAGGCCCAAAAAGACGAGCGTACGAAATGTTCCGTTCAAGTAAGGGAACGTGGAAAAACCCCAAACTGAGTGGAGCGTGTCCCCGGCTGTCTCCCTGCAGCAGTGCTCTCGGGCTCCTCCCTGCGGACCTCACGGGCTCCCCTCCTCACACGGGCCGGCGTCCGGGCAGCGGCAGGTGAAGCCGCCGAGCCGCGGCAGGCACAGGCCAGAGCAGCCGCCGTTGTCGGCGCAGTGGTTGTAGGCTGGCGGGGCAGAGAGAGAGAGACGAGGTATGGAAGCAAAAATTCAATGCGCAAAAATTCAATGCAAAAAAATTCAATGCAAAAAAATTCAATGCAAAAAAATTCAATGCAAAAAAATGCAATGCAAAAAAATTCAATGCAAAAAAATTCAATGCAAAAAAATTCAATGCGCAAAAATTCAATGCAAAAAAATTCAATGCAAAAATTCAATGCAAAAAAATTCGAACCGCAACATCCGGGAACCCAAGGAAGACCAATCGATTCTAGATCAAAATCGGGAGCGTGCGTCAAGCAAAAGGAGCGAGCGCCTCAATACAACTTGGGCTTGTCGACTATGATGACCGGATATCAGCCATGTCCATTAATAACGGGGCTTCGTTGAGTGTTTTAACTTTAACTTCATTCCATCAGTGTGGTTTGTGTCTGTAAGATTCAGTAATCGACTGCTGTTGCTGGGATGCTTCGACGAGCTATTAGGAGTGATTGGCGGTTGAAACCAGGAACGCGCTTGTAGAGCATAGGAGCCGCTGCAGCGTAGTGGGGGGGTTTACATGCACGACCATATCATGTCTACGTTACACAACTAGAGGAACTGACAACGGAAACATGGAAGACATCTCGTTCTAGTTTGTGGGGTGTTTTTCAAAGAGGGTCATTTTGGCTTAAAATGAACTGGCAGCGTTAAAAGGGAAATCGCTGCGTTTAAAAATGGCGCCAAAAAGCAAATGGCATTAAAACAAAAGGTTCGTCTTAAGGAGGAGCGCTTACAGACGTTTTCCAATCCAATGCTAAAGTTTCCCCTTTTCAGTTCAGCAGGTGATTTGATGGTTCCTGGTTCTCAAATGTGAAGATCTGCTGCTTCAACGGATCTCACATCATCATGGATGTAAGATTGTTAAGTTAATAAAGTGACTTTCTACTCTACTCCATTAGGAAGAGCAGAGCGTGACTCCTTTCTGCTGCTTCTCAGATTGAACAGAGGAGGGGTGGGGGGGGGTGTCCACAGCTGGCCGCTTCACCCGGCGTTCCCACGCTTATATCCGTCCACGCCGCTTGGTGCATCTGGAATCAATCCGCTCGGCCTCCGGGAAACATCAGGAGCAACGAGGCAACGAGGAGGAATACGGTAAACTGAAGCACAGCGGGGTGCTGACGACAGGATAAAGAAGTGGAGCCGCGTTATCAATGCGATTACAACGACGCGACCACATTCCCGTTTGTATGGTAAGTTATTGACGATGCGACGGGAAGGATTTCATTGCTAAGCTCTTTAAAGCTGAAGTTGGTCTGCAGCTGTTTTTAAAACCAAACAGCTGGATCATAACTGACCGCTCAAAGTTTGGCACCATCGACGCCACAGCAGCTCTCTGTGTCCGGCCGGAATGCGCCGCGGCGCTCCCTGGTGGGAGGGCGCCAGAATGCAGGAATGCGCCCGCCCACGCGCAAAAATCTGCCATCAGTACATTGAAATTCCTTGCAGAGAATATTTGGCCCGATAACACAGAGGGACACTGTGTCGGTTTGTGTGACCGCGCCCGATGGCGAAGACGTCGACGGGGGAAATGTTTATGGTCTCAAGTCTTCTTCCCCACAGTCTTCTTCATCTAGTAAATCATGGTCCACTTGGAGTCAAACAGAACATAAAGCAGGGGGGGGGTGCTTTAGGGCGGGGCTTTCTGTGATTGACAGGCCGCTCCCCAGCGTCTCTCCGTCACGCCTCGCCATCCCAAATATGGTCAATTCCATTTATCGGTTGTAAAAAAAAAAAACGAACCCCGTCAGCCTGGTTTAAGGAGCCAAAGTGACTTGAGAGAATAAAGGCTTAGTCCCACCACAAAGGTCACCGTGGAGGTCATTCATGTGGTCACAGTGGTGCTGGAGAGCTATTAGCCTAGCGGCCCCTCACGGGGATGAAACGTGCGGTACCTTGCGGACACTGGGCCGGTGTCGCGGTGACGCCGTA